TATTAAAAGTGCAATTTTTATAATTTCTACGCTTTTCATTTCGTTAGAATTCATTCGCTAGAAATTACTATAGGCTCAGGAAGATCTGTAATCTACCTCGTCAACTGCAGCTTTTCCAGAGCAGCGTGTCTCGGCCAAAAAAAAATTCATCCTGTATTCAAAGCTGCTAAGTGGAGGCTAAGGGAACATTAAGTTTCTTAACCGACTACTTTGTATACATAAAAAATATTTATGATGGTAAATGACAGTCCTGAGAGGTTGCTACCATTACTCACATGTTACGCAGGTGCGCGATCTTACGATTGATTGATGAAGATTACAATTATAGGAGCCTGTTGCTTCGAAAACTGTTCTATTCAGATACCGAATATTCGGTACACATATTCATCTTGTTAAGCTTTATTCAATACCATTTCCAGATATGTCCGATTGATCATAATGCTTGTAATTGCGAAAGGCAGTTTCTTAACCAGTTTCTATTTTTAGAAAACATTTGAGCCACTAGGTAACAGCCTTAGCAATCCCCTGTTGCTGTTCGTAGCACTATTTTTATCGCTAAATAATTTTTTATTGAACGATATTTTTATTTACGTTTATTCTTAGACAACCAAATAAAGACTAACGAATAAAATTTCGCTCGACACTATCGAATAAATATCCATTCGAATAAGAATTCATTCGAATAAATAGACAGAATGATTCATGACGAATAATGAATAATCGTTATTCGAATGAAATATTCGACTGTAATATCCGACTAAACAGAATTCGTTCGGATAATAATCTTAAACAAATATCCCTTGGAAACAATTCGAATAATGCCAAGTTCTGGCCGATACGTTGCTCGCAGTTTTACGTAAAAGTTTCATTGTGATTTCGATTCCTGTTTTTCTTGCGTGGAAATCAGCGTTCGCGAGACAGCATCGCGCTCGATCTATTAATATCTGTTGATTCAACGATTCAGAGGCACGATCTTTCAAACGGGATTACCGTCATACAGAAGGAAGAACAAACAAGTAGCCCCGGCCAGTCGTTCCGAGCGCAAGTTGCATTCTAATCGCGTCGACGGATGAGCCAGAACGCCGCATCGCACCATTTAATAGCTTTTTAATTGGGCTCGTCCGTGCGCGACGAGGCGAAACATTGGCCGACGAAATGATCGGCGCACAATGATCCCAGTGTTTCGCCAAATATCTGAATACTAACGGCGTCGTTTAATGGCCGGCGACCGGTCGCGCATCCTCGCCCGGAGCGCATCAATTGCACAATGTGATCGTTGAAGCAGCGCCCACGACCGAACCCGCCACGACCACTCATCGTGATCGTATTAATCCGCAATTTGCATACCTCGACCCATTCAGTTCCTCTCCGTGATCCTTCCTCCGCGAGCGTTGAACCCTCGTCGCCCGTAATTACGGCATTAGGCGATCGCCGGAAAGGAGAGGATCGAGAAACTCGCTATAGCGGCCGACACCTGACTTCTCGTGCCCGTTCTATAATCCTCCCGTGACCAGTCACTTCGTGTAAACATTTTAGAACGATGCGCATGCATCTCGGATCCTCGCATGCATAAACAATGCTGCGCAAAGCAGTGATTTATATGAGAATCATGAACTTTTATGAATCGCCTACTATTTCTGGGATGACGAGAATTCGTTGCAAGGCGACGCATTTCATTCGTGCAGAAAAATTGAAATAATACCGAATAAGCCGCAGCGTGCCTTGCACAATCTCTTGTGATTGCATCACGGACCCCTCGGGTTTTCAAAGTAGTCAATTAACCAACGGCGACAGTGTTCTTTCCTATAGTAATTGCACTTAAAGACAACGCGGAATAGTGTAGGTATAGAATCCGCCAGGGTTTGTTGACTCTTCGCGAAGAATCCTTGACGTAGAAAATATAGAAAAATATAGAAGAATATAGAAGAATATAGAAGAATATAGAAGAATATAGAAGCGTATAGAAGCGTATAGAAGCGTGTAGAAGCGTGTAGAAGCGTATAGAAAATATAGAAGCGTGTAGAAGCGTATAGAAAATATAGAAGCGTATAGAGAATATAGAAAATCCAAGCGTCTTCCGGCGTGGCTGGCGAGGCGCAGAACATGATTTCCCGACGGCGGATCGTGGCCGATTATCTGTTGTCGATCGTAAATATCGAAAGATGAGGAACGGCACGAGGAAAGGTGGAATCGATCGAGAGGATCACAGCGATCAGAAATAGAAGCGCAGTCGACGGAGCCGGCAGGTTCTCGTTCCGCGTTCGCTTCGTAGCCGAGGACGACCGAGGGGAGAACACGCGAGGCTCTCCTCTTGACCTCACTTTCTAGAATCCTTTAAGTATATGGCGCCTTCGACTCCACGGCTCGTTTATCCATTATCGATGAACGAACGGCGCTTCCCTGACACACGACGTGTCTCTACTAACCGAGATACCGGGCCCCGTACAGATTGTTCGTGACAGATGGTCCCGCTGTCAAACGAACCTACTCGCGGACTCGTTAAAGTGGAACGTCCGCTCGGCTCGTTTCACGGAAGTCGTGGCCCGTGCCCTATCCTCTGCCTGCATGCAAAATGGACGGAGTCTCGGGCGCCATCGTTCAGCTTCCGACGTCTTCTCTGCAGCGCCTCCAACTCGCCTCTGCTACGAATTTGGCCGAGCAGCTTTGATCGTTGTTACTGGGGAGCTAGATTCCTTCCTGTTCAGATCATATTTCGGAGGATTTGGAACTGTTTTTAGCATTTTTCGTTCATTCAGATGATCTTTCGAAGGATTTGGGACTGTTTCAGCATTTGATGTTAATGCTGAAACGATATTCTGAAGGTTTTGAAACTGTTTCAGCATCTGGAGTTGATGTTTGGATGATTTTCTGAAGGATTTGGAACTGTTTCAGCATCTTCAGTCTTTTGAGGCTATCTTTTGAAGGATTTAAAATGATATTCTGAAGGTTTTCAAACTGTTCCAGCACCTGAAGTTGATGCTCGGATGATCTTCTGAAGGATTTGGAACAGTTTCAGTATCTTCAGTTGTTTGAGATGATCTTTTGAAGTATTTGAAACGATATTCTAAAGGTTTTGAAACCGTTCCAACACCTGAAGTTGATGCTCAGTTGATCTTCTGAAGGATTTAGGACTGTTTCAGCGTCTTCAATCTTTTGAGGCGATCTTTTGAAGGATTTGAAATGATCTTCTGAAAGATTTCAAACTGTTCCAGCACCTGAAGTTGATGTTCAGATGATCTTCTGAAGGATTTGAAACTGTTTCAGCATCCGAAGTTGATGTTCAGATGATCTTCTGAAGGATTTGAAACTATTTAAGCATCTTCAGTTGTATCAGATGATCTTTTGAAGTATTTGAGACGATATTTGAAAGGTTTTGAAACCGTTCCAACGCATGAAGTTGATGCTCAGATGATCTTCTGAAGGATTTGGGACTATTTAAACATCTTGAGTTGATATTGCCATGATCTCTGAAGGATTTGGAACTGTTTCAGTCACTTAACTCGATGCTGAACTTGCTAGATCGTCGAGATGATCCGAATAATCTGTAACTGCTTGAGTAAAAGCAATTCCCTTGGTGTCAGTCGTTGTTTTAGGGAACTAAGTTTTAGCACCGACATCGAATTTCTACATGACATTCGTCTCGAATACCTGGATTCTCAAGTATATAAACTCCCTAGAATCAAAAATCCGTTCAAGATTGTCTTAGATGACAAATCTCTCTCTCTCTCTCTCTCTCTCTCTCTCTCTCTCTCTCTCTCTCTCTCTCTCTCTCTAGCATCCCAACTCCCCGGAATACTGAATTTCTCCAACAAGTTTCTAATCCTCAAAACTGCAAGTGGCTTGGTACACTCGAGTTCGACGAGTGGAGAAATTCACCCTCTGTGTATGCACCTCGAGGAACTCGAGTGTGTACCATATATTGAGGTTAGTAGATTTGCATAGATGCGCAGAGAAAATCTGTTTGATCTATCGAACAGAAGTCACCGTCTAACTATATAGTCCTTGCTAATTAATTCGAAAGATTAAGGAAATCTCCAACGACAGTAGAAAACCCTAAATGGGGCTTCTGTTTCATGCACCAGACAGAAGCAATGCTCGTTTAGCACAATTTTTCATGTATAATGAAGGGGCTTTCAACAAGGTTCTTTCGACAAGGGTCTTTCGCCAACAGCTTTTTTTCAATTTTTTAATTGAACAAATTATCGTTCTACACTTTTGGCACGATCGTTTACAATTATGTATGGAATACAATATTTGACCAGCCGAACACTTTTTGCACTTAACCACTTTTTCTTCTAAATTCGCATCGTTGGACGTTATTTTTCAGTTCATCGGTGATTCGTAGATTATTGTTATAACTAGACTGCGGATCTTTATGCGAAATGAAATTTATTTTCATCAATTGTAACATAAATGAGTCAAATAAAAATGTCTTTCCTTCTTTAATTATAATTGCAGTGAGTTAAAAATAATACATGTCTTTAATTCGTTTAATATTTTCATTGTTTGAAATTTCATCTAACCATTTTTATTATAAATGCATAAAATCCGCAGTATGGTAATAATCTTGTTATCTGACGTTGCTCCACAGAGTATATAAAAATAATCCACAAAACACCGATGATCTGAAAAATATGAATAATATATGCACATCCAAGTCCATAAAGAATATGAACATCCAAGCGTTTGTGTGGCCATTTGACTGATATTTTATTTCATACACAATTCTAAATAATCGTACCAAAAGGTACAATCAAAAGTCCACCTTATAAATTTAAACGTGATTTATTCAGAACAAGCTATCGGTAGCTCTTGTTGAAAGACGCTTTACGAGCGACAGCAGGAGGTAGCTAAAGGCGGTAGCTAAAGTATGAAGGGCGACTGGAGGGCTAGAGATGCCCCAACCTTCAGCTGCCAAAAATTTCTCTAGCGGACTAACCGAAGTCTATAAACTCGAGTGTCCTCGAACGTCGCTGAATGGACCCGTAATCTTGTTGCAGACCTGGCGCAGATCCGGGCGCTGGTGGAGTCGACGGGGATGCTGGGTGGCTCGACGTGCCCTTCCTGCGAGATGCCGTTCGACAAAGGGAAGAAGCGTCGGCTGATCGACTCCTGCGGACACGAGCGTTGCTACTCGTGCCTGTTCCGGAGCGAGGCCTGCCCGCTGTGCCTCCGCGCGGACTTCAACGACGAGGATGGCCTGGAGGGGCCCTTCAGGGACGTGCTCGCCGGGTCCTCAGGCCCCATGTCCATCCTCGCGCCCACGGACGGCTGGATCGATGAGTCATCGACGGTGAACTCTCTCTGCGGCAGCCCCAGACCACGCACGAAAGTCACCACGAGAGCAAACCTCCCGTCACGAGTCATGCACGTAAGCATCATCGACGCCGTCGTCATCGCCGTCATCGTTCGCGGCCGGTTTTGTTCCACGACGACGCTCTCAAAGCACCGGCTCTCCTCTCTCGAAGACCGGTGGAATGTCTAGAACGTTTGCGGACTATTGTTCAACGAGAGGCCTTTGTTTGATTGCGATTACTCAGAGCCAGACGGCTCTCGAGTCCAGGATACTGATTGCTATTGATGAACCCGGCTAGGAAAGTGAAAGAGAAAAGACGCTCATTAGCCTGTTACCATTTTTCTTGACCCCCGGTCTACGGCTCGTCGGAGGAGCCGGGACCTTTGCTATGTGGTATTTGCGCAGAAATTATGCCACTTGTGTACTTCGCGCTGAAATCGCCGACGAACAAACACAGCGTTGACGCGTCGCGCGGCTGTAATGTTCGCGTGGTTTTTCTTCTCGTAGAGCCTGCTATTAAATAGCTCGTTGTTTCTGTGCTTCTTGCTTCAGCAACGGGACGCCGACGAGTCCTCTTTGGTAGCTAAAGGCTCGAGGGGCAAACAATCGGCTCAGCCGGAGTCCTCCTCGGGGTCTCAGGGCCGACAGAAGCTGCAAATCATGACGCAAAGTACGTGGCCTAACGACGAGCATGCCTACGTTATTCGCGAATTACGAATTAGCCTTCCGGCAAGATCGATCCTAATCGCAACGCGAACTCCTATTTCCAGGCTGCCCGACGCCCCCGAATCAAAGGAAAAGGTTCTTCCTGAACCCGAAGGTGCTGAGGAGCTCGTTCGTCCCCCAGAGATCGTCCAGAAGAGGTGCCTCGTCCCCCGAACCCGTCGCCAACGACAACCCCTCCGCCCTTTCAGGTAAGTCCTGGCCCCCGTTGTCGCAGAGATAGGCTCTCCGAATTAGCGCACAAACTATGTCGCCGCACCGGGAGCCAGCTTCCGAATCGTATTAACCTTGATACCCGCACGCACACGCAGTTTGGATGACCTCCTCTTGGGAAGGGAAGTCAAGATGGCCGGGTGTAGTGCTGGGGAAAATCAAATCTTTGTGGAGCAGCAGTCAAGGGACGGCGAGCGACGGTCTGAACCAGCTGATCGAGCCGAGGAGCAAACTCACAGGCAGGGAGACCACTTTAGACTCGAGTGTGCATTGTTTGGAGTTGATCGCAGGCTGCTTGAAGGTTGAGGATGAACGGAGTCACACCTGCCTTTCTATTCCCGACGATGAGATCCCTCCTCCGGTCTTCACTCTGTCACCTGGCGCGGCGTCTTTCTTTCTCGCCGCGCCTCTCGTAGAGCACCGAGTGCAACTAGGTCGTTCCGTGAATCGCGTCGTTCGTCCTAATGACGACTTCAACGCGTCGTCCCTCCACCCTTTGCCCTATCGTAGTCCCGGATAAATGACGACGCGATCGACGGAACGACCTCTGATAGTTTGATGCATGAGTCGCCTGTCGTCCACTATGTGCACGAACCCCCTTTACTTCCAGCAAGGTGGAGTACTCAAAGTAGCTGAACACCTTGAACAGTTTAGGTAGATGCTTGAGACGTCCTTGAGGTCGTTCTGCAACGGAGTCTGCATCGTGATCTGTGTTTCGTTCTGTGTGTCCCGCGCCCCGCGAGACCTCCGCGACCTTCTTGACCCCGAGCGTTTCGCTTGCAGATGACGAGGGCGGCTGCGTGAAGCCCCTGACCTCGAAGACCAGAAAGTCCTCGCAGTCGGACCTGTACATGAGGCTGGGACTCCTGTTGGGCAGCAATCATTCCCGCGCCAGCAGCAACGTGGACACCAGCGACCTCCCCGGAGCCCCGAATCGCTCCAGCGCCGGCGCCTGTCAATCCAGGGTGCCGATTCAAAGTCACGACAGCTCGGCGGCATCGTTCAGCAGCCTGACGAGCTTCGAGACCCAGACCCTCGCTTCGACCAACACCAGCCCGGTCTCCACGTTGACCGGAACGTCCAGCGAAGCCGAGGCCGCCGCTGCCTTGAGATGTCCCATCAAACCGAAGTCGAAGGCCAAGGGCAAGAGCAAGTCCAGGGACTGCGACAGCGCCGGAAGCCTGGCTTCGATTTCGACGTCGGTTTCCGCGTCCACTTCCATGTCCATGTCGATGTCCGTGTCCGTTTCCGGGCTGTCGAACGGCAGCTCCAGCCCCCTAACTCCCAGAAGACATTCCGTGAACGCCTCGCAGGCTGGACAGTCCGACGAGCCTGGACAGTCCTTCAAGAATCGGAGGTCCTGCGCCAGGAGGTCGGCCAGGACCGGAAACGTGAAGGGTGCCGTAGACGCCAAGCGTACGTTCGATTCTGAAAGTACGATCATTGAGAGTAGTCGACGAGGATTCACGACGGACGATTATGTTACAGTGCGCTTTATGCAACACCACGCGACCCAGCTGACCCTGAAGCCCCTCTTCTTCGAGGTACCCCTCCTGGAAACAGACCCGCTGTTCACCGGTCGCCAATGGCTGTTGCACGAGATCGAGTCCGTGGTGAACGGGTCCAGTCCCGGTGTCCTGATCTCAGGGTCCCCTGGGACCGGCAAGACCGCGTTAGTCCTCCAACTGGTGGAGCACAGTTGCTTCGGCAGAAGGAGGGAGCAATCTCTTCCGTCGGACATCGCGGAAGATCTCAAGGATAAGGAGAAGCCTGGCTGCGCTACTGCCCTGCATGCTGGAATCCGCAATACTAACGAGAAGGTATGTCAACGTTCCGGCTCCTCTTCTACGATATATCCGTCGAATATCCGCCTACAAGATGCGACGATTATCGATCAGGTGAGAGAACTGGCTGGCCACGTGGTCGCCTATCACTTCTGCCAAGCGGACAACAACAGCACCTGCCTGGTACCTGATCTGATACACTCTCTGGCAGCTCAGCTCTGCCAAGCTCCTCAGCTGATCTCCTACAGAGAGTACTTGCTCTCCGAACCACACATTCAAGGCTCCTTGTCGCAAAGGGAGTGCACCGTGGACCCTGATCTGGCACTGTCCAGAGGCATCATCGAGCCTTTGTCCACTCTGAAGAAGATGAACAGGCTGCCGGACTCGAACATGGTACGAAAGACAGAACCTTGGCATCGACCTTTGTTATTTAAACCTGACAGCTTGTCTGTCAGCTGATCTGCCAGGACAACGATTTAACCTGGACGTAATCACGAATCTTTTCCAGGTGATCCTCATCGACGCGGTCTGCGAGGCAGAGTACCACCGACCCGACAGAGGCGACACAATAGCATCCTTTCTGACAAGGCACGCGCCCAACTTCCCCAGCTGGCTGAAGATCATCTGTACAGTTCGGACACAGCTGTTGGAGTGCGCGAAGCAGCTACCCTACACCCGGGTCTCCCTGGACAAGGTCCCGAACGACAGCACCGGGAACAACGTCACCCGGGACCTATCCGATTACATAGGCTACAGGCTGGCCCAGAGTCCCGCCATTCAAACGAACGTCACGGCGTCCGTGAACGGCAAAGCAGAATCGTCTTGCAGCGCGAACCAGACTCGGTTCTCCTCGCACCTGCTGGCGCTGGCCAGGGGCAGCTTTCTCTTCGCCAAGCTGACCCTCGATCTTATCGAGAGCGGACACTTGGTGGCTAAATCCGCCAGCTACAAGGTGAGCGCGGCTTTATCAGCCGGCGAATGTTGCTGCCGCAGTGTCTCCGGACGATTTGCGTAACGTTTCCTCGGTGGTCCAGGTGCTGCCCGTGTCCCTGGCGCAGATATTCCAGCTACACTTCAATCTAAGGTTCCCGACGGCCACGTCCTTCGACAGGGTCCAGCCTCTTCTCGGCGTTTGCCTGGCCGCGCTGTACCCGCTCACCCTGCCGGAGATCTTCTACTCTGTCAACTCGCTGAACACCGACCGATTCGTTTCATGGGAGGATTTTCTGCAGAGATTCAAAGTGAGTACCTGTGGTCTTGTGAGGATAGTCTTTTTCGCGACGAGCTTGTCGCTTCAGATATCGTCTTTCCAAGATCTTGCGACCTACCAAGACATCGCTACACCTCGGCCATTTCCCAGAAATTAGTAATCCCGTCGAGACAAACGCGCGCCATCGGCGATCGAATTATGCAGCTCCTCCGATAACAGTCCGCCGGTTCTAATAATAATTTCTCCTTTGTCCCCTGCCGCCGCCAAAGGGATCAAGTGAGGATAGTCTTTTTCGGCGACCTTAGCAGTGCTGCAACTATAGGGATTGGTACTCTCAAGGGTGTCTAGAGAAATTGCTTCAATGGACTCCCAAATTAGGAGCTTTCTTCAAGTAACGATATCTGTAACAAACTTTAACCGTTTAAGTCCCAAGCAGCGCGATCGCGCTGTTCAGATCTTGTATCGCGATCAAACTTTAGTGACGCATGTACCTCGCATAGCTCTGCTTTCTTCCATATTTTTTCTTTTTGTTTTGTTTGTCAATCTCGACGAGCGCTATCGCGTCGCTTGGTTCTCTTCGCAATCAATTAAGACAAGCGCCATTACGCTGTTCGCCACTTTCCGAACGTGTTTTCTGAGTAACTCCTGGGACTCGAACGGTTAAACAAGCCTTTAATATTTATTTTAAGGAGACAATCTTTCATCCTTGTTTTCATCCGCGCTTTTACGTGTAATATTTTTCTTCGTAACTTTTCATACTTCTTCCCCGTTTGGAAGAGTCGACATTTTTCGAACTTTCCGCGACGAGCTCGTCGCTTCAGATATCGTCTTCCCAAGATCTTTTTAACGAACGAGAGACCTACCAAGACATCGCTGCACCTCGGCCATTTCCCAGAAATTAGTAATCCCGTCGAGGCAAACGCGCGCCCTCGGCGATCAAATTATGCAGGCTCTCCGATAACAGTCCGCCGGTTCTAATAATAATTTCTCCTTTGTCCCCTGCCGCCGCCGAAGGGATCAAGTAAGTCTCACGCTCGTGATCGGCGTTTAACGGAACCCCGGCTCGTTCGTTTCGCAGCCGCGTGTCCGCCCATTCGATGTTCAAAAACGGGATAACACCGCGCGCTGTTCTCTTAATCAGATGCTCTCTGGCTTCCTCGTGAAACGGCTGGACAACACGTACATGTTCTTCCACCCGTCGTTCAGGGAGTGGTTGATGAGAAGGGATGAGGGAGAATCGACGAAGTTCCTGTGCGACCTGAGGCTGGGTCACGCCGCGATCGCGTACAGGCTGTCGCGGCTCCAGGCACCGTTAGACGGCGACAAAGCGTTGGAACTGGGTCACCACATACTGAAGGCGCACGTTTACAGAGGCGTCGCGCCTTGCTGGCCTTCGCGCGATCTCCAGGTATGATGCTTGCCTGTTCCGCGGCCACGGATAGATCGATTAGGCGTGGCCGTTCGCATGCGACCCGAGAACAGAGACATTCTACGGTCCGCGTTCTCTTCCAGGCGATCTGGTTAGCATCGTCCACGGAGTGCGTCTCGTCCGCGCTCTGCACCCTGAGGAACATCTACAGCCCGAACGTGAAGGTGTCGAGGTTGCTTTTGCTGGCAGGAGCATCCCCTAACCACATCACCGAGTACCTGGGCAACGCTCCAGCTCTGTGCATGTACGCCCACGAAGGCTCCGTCGAGATGGTGTCCCTGCTGCTAGAATTCGGCGCTGACGTCGAGCTGACGAACAGCCAAGGCTGCACTGCGCTGTCGTTGGCCGCCGCTCGAGGACACTGCGACGTTGTCAGAAGGTGGGGATACGGGCATTATTTTGCAAAAGGGAAAGGGTTGGATCGACGATAACGAACGAAACGAATGAACGTCAGGTTGGCCGCCGCTGGGGCGTCTTTGGGGCACGCGGACATGGCAGGTCAGTGTCCCCTGGTGCACGCTGCAAGGCACGGGAGGCTGTCGGTGGTCGGCTACCTGCTGGCCTGTGATTGGGTGATTCCATCGGGCGAGAGCGAGCCGGAGAACTCGCAGGAAATGAGCAGGGAGGAAGCAGCCCAGCAAGCTGTGGTAGCAGCCGCTGCTCAAGGCCACGAGTCCATCGTCGAATATCTCCTGGACATGGCCGAGGTCATCGTGGACAGGCCCGACACCCTGATCGGCGAGACCGCGCTGACCATAGCAGCTGCGAACGGGTCCACCGCCACGGTTTCCGCTTTGCTAGCTCGCGGTGCTAGACCTACGGCTGTGAACGCCAAAGGACTGTCTCCTTTGATGCTTGCCGCGAGGGAGGGCCACTGGGGAACTGCTGAGAGATTCCTTCAAGGTCGGTAGATCCTGCTTCAGGTTCGAGGATATTTATTTCGTGGGGAAATGTGAAAAGAGTTTCATTGGTGGTTTCATGATCTTGTTGACTTCAGGTACGCTGTCCAGCAGTACAGACACGATCCTGGACGATGCTGTGACCCTCCTGGATCAGAGAGACCTCGCTGGACGCACCGCCCTCATGCTAGCCGCGTCCGAAGGTCATACGAACCTGATCGAATTGTTCCTCGACAAGGGCTCCAAGTTGGAGAGCAGGGACAAAGAGGGACTCACTGCCCTTTGCTGGGCCTGCGTCAGGGGAAGGCTCACTGCTGTGCAGAACCTCATCGACAGGGGCGCAGATGTCAACACCAGCGACAACACTGGCAGGACTCCTTTGGACTTGGCTGCGTTCCAGGTACGAAAATTTCAACGTTATATTACAATGATCGAAAAGGCCTGGTGTGATCTGCTTTTAAAAAGACCCGAGTGACCTTGGAACACCGCAAGACCCCGAAGAACATCTTTGAAGAAATTTCGGCAGTGAAGCCGGTTTACTATAAAATGACCAATTGCTGTGCCTTTGGTTTGTTTTCGGGCATGATTAACTTTATATTTATCGAATAAGACGTATTAAACCTTTCAATTCTTCTATTCTTTTATTTCGTCTATTTATTTAGTTAATTTAATATGTCTTATTCGATAAATACAAAGTAAATTATTCTTTCATTTCGTTTACTTCCTAATAACACAATTTAATGTGCTTATGCGATAAATGAAGAATAGATTGTGTCCAAAAACAAATCAAAGGCAAAGCAATTGATCATCCCACAGTAACCGGCTCCTTCCCTGTTACTGTGTCCGCCAGTTCAAACCAAAAAAATATCTCCTTATTATCGGAGACAAGAGAAACGCGCTTCATCTAACATTGTTGCTGCGAAAGAGGGTCTACATAATTAGTCCATGTATCCAGGGCAATCCGAAATTGGTGCAACTGCTGCTGGAAAAGGGAGCCGCGGTGGAACACGTGGACCTTCACGGCATGCGACCACTGGACCGAGCCATAGGCTGCCGAAACATCCCCGTGGTGCAGTGTTTCCTGCGGCGGGGTGCTAAACTGGGCCCGGCCACCTGGGCGATGGCTGCCGGGAAGCCCGACGTGCTTCTGATCCTCTTGAACAAGCTGCTCGAGGACGGGAACGTGCTGTACCGGAAGAACAGGCTGAAGGAGGCGTCGCACAGGTACGCCTACGCCCTGAGGAAGTTCCCCGTGTCGCCGGAGGAAGACTGCCAGGGTCAGGAGCACGACCACATGATGCTGCAGCTGCAGACGTTCGCGCAACTACGGCTGAATTTCTTGCTCAACCTTAGTCGATGCAAGCGCAAGATGAATGTAAGTTGGCCGGTCGAGTTGGCGAACTGCGTCTCCTCTTCGAGTTCTTCTTTCTTCGACAAAAAAAAAGCAAGAGAAACGCCCGTTCAGAGCGAAAGCGCTGAAGTTTCTGTTCTTGGAAACCGAGTCTACGATCTATGATTGAACTTTCTATATTAATTTGCATTTTATCTGCAGGATGCGAATTTTGTATAGTTCTATTACATTTGTTTCTTTTCTTGTAGACTCTGTTATGAACAGACGCCTTTCAAAACTGATGGGTTCTTGTCAAGATTAAATTCTTGTCGGTAAAATGGAAAAAGTAAAATAAGATGAAATAGTAATAAATAAAATATAAAAAAATAAATAATATAAATATGATAGATATGATAGATATATATCATAAAATGAAAAAGTAGTTTGCATGAACATTGAGGAGCATTACTATGACCTGACAGATGATTAAACCCTTGCGATTCATGGTTGCAGGAATGTGCGGAAGCAATCGAGCTCGCTGACGAGGCTCTAAAGGTTCGGCCAGTGTCCTACGAGGCCTTCTACGCCAGGGCGAAGGCTCGCGTCGACTCGGGACTGCTGGAGGATGCTCTGTCCGATGTCCAGGAGGCTCTGCAGATTGCTCCACCCCAGAACAGGCAGGATCGCCGCGTCCTCGTTGCCTTGAGAGATGAGATCATCTCCAGATTGGACGGTTTGGGGACCAGCAAAGGAACCTGCGACTCCTCGAACAGGTCCAGGCTCCGGGCATCGGTGGACACTCTCACGGAGCTATAAGATTCTGTCTTCATTCGAGACACCACTCGAACTGTTTCGGACAATCTGTTTTCTTTAGGTGGCACGCTTAAGCCGTCCTAGATCGTACTCGACGAGCGCTCGATCATCTACGAGCGATTCTATCGACCGCAAACGAAACGAAATCGCGGTCACGCGATATGCCTGGTCCTTCAGGATGCACTGTCTTTAGTTGAAGGACACTTCGAAACGGGTCCTGAAGGACGCACAGCGATCCACGCCGGGATGTTTCATTCGATTTTTCGTCGCGTATTGCGCGCACTCGAAGAGATTCCTGTTGTCGCCGCTTCTGAAACGCGAAGCTGGCTCTACCCGTACTTCCGGTTGGCGTGCAGGGCACCGTTTGCCCCTCCCCGAGACAACTGTTCCGAACATTCATACATCGTTTTTGGAAGTTCAAGGTATTATCGCGTCTTTTATGTTAAGTTTTATGTTAATTAGTTTTGGTATTCGCGGAACAGTCTCGGGGTTTCGGGGTGCAAACGGTGTTCGATCACGTCGATCTCGCGCGCGCGCCTCTTTTTCTGCAATTGTATTGCATGACCGTGTAGGGTTTTGTTTTTTCTTTTTTTTTTTTGTACGATGATCTCGATCGCTGATCGAGCACAGAGTTTAATATATTGTAAGATCCTAGGAAAAAGTGGGACCGGGCGAGCGGGACTCGAACCTGCGATCTCGAGATTCGCCGACTGGCCAAGCATGAGCATTTTTAGACGGTGTCCTAGCCTAAATCTAAATCCACTGAACTGATTTCGAGATGCGTGAAATATGCTCGTAGAACACTTGCATTTTTAACAGTTGACTCCTTCAAAGTTCTTTTGATAAATCAAGTAGCGATTTTGAGTGAAGTAACCATTCGACTGCAGCTGATTAAATTATTCGGTTGGCCAATAAGCCATTGCGTTTTTTCCCCATAGATTGCAATACAGAAAAACGCAATGGTTTATTAGCCAACCTGATACAATAACTCTGTTCATTTTGATAACCCAGAGGTGCTAATCTAAGAAGACCTTTCAAAACGCTGCCACTCAAAAAACTACTACAAGAAAATTGTATTTATTATGATCTCTAGGCTAGAACACCCCCTAAACCATCCCAGCCACGGAACCCTCCGACTTTTCCCAATCTAAAGCGTTCTTAAAGGTCTGGGGGTCCTGATCCCACGATATATACATTTTTCTATATATAAATAGTATATATATATATATAAATATTTGTATTATATCACGCGTATGATGATTGGTTTCTAGTGTCGTTGTAATTTAATGAACGTTATTTAATTCTGTTTCCTATTTCTCTCTATCTATCTATCTATCTATCTATCTATCTCATTGTTTCTCTCAGTATTCTTTTCCTTTTTTAAACAAACCACGCCGTGAACAATTGTGTGCACGAAACGAATGAAAATGAGCAAAAAAAAGAGAAAGCAAGAGAACGAACGACGAGCAGACTCGTCCGGTGACTGGTTCTCGAGTGCGTATTCCACTGTTAGGAAATTATCCGATCGCTGACGAGAACCGTGTTAAACGAGCCACTCGACGATCTCGTCGATCAATGTATTTAGAAAACGGACTCGCTTGCCAAGCATTTAATTACACCTATTCCTCTGCAACCAGGTCGCGATCCAACGATCCTGGATCCGATCTATGGCCACCGATCGACGACCTCCCTCCGATTTGTATTTTAATAGACAGAAAATCGCATCCGCTTTCTGCGATGTTAGTTGTCTCTGCACTGGAGCACAGAGGTCCGAAATAAACGAAACTTTTCGACGACGTCGTCGTTTTCTGGTCATTTTCATTGTACGATCTGCTTTGTCTGTTACGTTACCGTCTACTTTTGGGAGCCTGGAGAAGGAGCATGGCGGAGGTAAGGTGGTCCTTTGAGAGGTCTGGGAAATTTGCTGTTGCGGAGATACGCAGAATATTTGGTTCGACATTTTCTAGATTGTTTTTTTTACATTGTTTTGTTGTTTACGACAATTTTTAATGGAGCAGACGCGGTAAAGAGTCTTAATTATATATATATCTGGATATCTTTGCTTCTGTTTTCTTTCTTTTTCTTTTTTAAAGAAGAAGCGTTTGTTCATTAAGTTTTAATTTCAACAATTCCAAATTTCATTAATGAAAACCTCTATATTTTTCTTTTCCTGTATCTCGCGTATTTAAATCCGAAGGCAATGTATTCTGAAAATTCCGATGTCGGTGAATCGGGCAACGCGTGTTCTGTTTATCGCCGCAAAGAGGAGTTCGCGAACGAGTGAATCGATAGTGACAGATTTCTTTCAACTCTTCTTTATTACCCCGAATAAAGACGACTTGTTCGTTCGAGAGAAACGCTGTTTTCTCGACGCTGTCCCCTAAAGTAGTGTAGTGTACATCGATTAGAGAATTCGTATAGTGCATTACGGGTAGAACGGGGACCGTGAGCGCGCGCGCGCGCGCGCGCGCGTGCGGGGGTGGCGAGACACGGTCCCCCAGAAATTGTTGAAAATCGTAACACATGACACCGGAAGCTCGGAATCGGCGGCGATTTATCTCGAAACGACGACGCATGTAGAAAATAGGCTAGAAGGATGACACCCCTAACGTGAAAGCTTTCGTGTCGCTCTCGGCGGTTCGCGAAAGCAACAGAGCCCCCCACACCGTGTCCATCTTTTTTCGCATCTCCTTTTTCTTCCTTTTTCTCGTATCTTACAGAACAATATTCTCCGAGAGTTAGTACCAAGTCACGGATTTTGGTCTCGAACCCGCCGCTACCCGCGGTAGCCACGTTTTAAGTACACTTTAATCGGTTACGTATACATATACATATCATAATCACATGTTATTATGCAATGCGGATGCCGTAAGAACAATCACAAATTCGTTTTTATCAATTACACCCGACACGTGGTTTCATCGACTGTACATTATTGCGAATCGAGCGAGACGACGTTCGTATCTCGGCCGCCGCTTGTCAAAATGGCGGCGAGCACCCCGACCGCCATGGTCGATCATACAAAAGACTTGAAACGAACGCGAAACCGGCGTAGACTGCGAAATAGTAGGTATATTATACAACGAATAAAAAAGAAGAAATAAGACAAAAAATAAGAGTGCATCGACCGACGATAACGGACTTCGACCGTCGTTGCATTAAATTCGAAATTATCGTTAAACAAACCGGCAACAACGGAACATTCACCACCTGGCTTTTAGTTCTCGCGTGCTGGGTCGACGAAGCGGCGTCGCTTGCGCTTAAAAATGCGATTTTCCTTCCTCCCTCGAACGTGTCTAAAATTTTTCAATTCGGTCACACGATCTAGCAGATCGCGTTGTTTCAATTGTCAGATTGAATTGAAATAAGTAAATTTGTACAAATTGTTCGTTTCCTGTAATTTGTTGATTGCGACGGTCTACCAAATTGAACAGTTCAACGCGCGTTCGATAGAGGAACAAAATAAGATCGGAGACATATTAATATAAAACGCACGAAGGAAAATGTACTTTCAATGAAATTGCATTCGAAACGTAAGCGACTCGTCGACCCGACAATTTGTCGTCTGGTTTCCCGGTGAGCCGTGATTCGCAAGGGAACGAAGCACGATTGCAGAGAGTCAAAGTGTCCGAACTGTCTGAAGCCGCTTCGAAGCGAAAACAAAAACAGTACCGATAAACGTTATCCCTGCGGTCCTTCGCGCCGTAGAAACTACCATCCGGAGACCGTCGTTTCTGCAAGGTCCGCGACAGCAATTCGGCGCAAGGACGTCTGGGATAAGTCCCTGTTTAGCATTCCGAAGCTTCAAGACGCAGAATCCCAGTTCGACGGAGAAAATCGGTCGAGAAGTTTTTCGACGTGATTTTCACGAGTGTCCTTGCCGGGACTGGGAATAGATCGGCAGACAGTTGTCCGAGCGATCGACGCGTTCGCGAACCTCGCGGATCCTCGATTGTCGGCGGTGCTAATTGGCAAACGCCGGAACGAACACCGACGGGACAACCTGACGGACACGAGGCGCGATCGCGTCGCGCGGAATACGTGGACGGGACAACAGAATGTCGAAGACATCGCCGGAGCCAGCGATCGAGGGTTAATGGGCCTTGTTGTAGGTGTCCTTGTTCTGGTAGCCCTGCACGTAGCCGGATTCGTCCGGCAGGTCCTTCCGGCCCGCGATCCCCTTGCCCTTTCCGGTCTGGTCGAAGCGCTGCTTGTGGGAGCCGGTGTACTTGCTGACGTCTGTCAGCCTGTCCACTGCGGAGGCTGCCTTTCCGGCCTGGAAATAATGAAAATGGTACTTCATTGTAGTCGCAGTAGCAATAAATAGATAATAGATTGATGATGCGTAATAAACCGGATCGCGGACCTCTGACACCTAATTAAAGACAAGGAGAATTACATGAATTCAAAGCGATAGTTCGAATGAATTTTTAGATATGTTCCTATGGGGATATTTTTATGCAATTTAGCTTAAATGGAAGCTGGAAGTGTCTACTTTGAGACAGAGTAGATTAGATTGCAATAGAATGACGAGACAATTCTGAGGGAATCGAGGAATCGACCTCTGACGTCATGGGGTTTACAAGGTTTGAAGGGAAAAGTTCTGATGAATCTGGAGATATGTTCACGTAGGGCTATTTCTGGGAAAGTTAGCTTAAATGAAAGCTGGAAGTATCTACTTTGAGACAGAGTAGATTAGATTGCAATAGAATGACGAGACAATTTTGAGGGAATCGAGGAATCGACCTCTGACATTATGCGGTTTGCAAGATTCCAAAGGAAAAGTTCAGATAAATTTGAAGATATGTTCCCATGGAGCTATTTCTGTAAAATTTAGCTTAAATAAAAGCTGGAAGTGTCTACTCTGAGACAGAGTAGATTAGATTGCAATAGAATGACGAGACAATTTTGAGGGAATCGAGGAATCGACCTCTGACGTCATGGGGTTTATAAGATTTGAAGCGAAAAGTTCAGATGAATCTGGAGATATGTTCACGTAGGGCTATTTCTGGGAAATTTAGCTTAAATAAAAGCTGGAAGTGTCTACTCTGAGACAGAGTAGATTAGATTGCAATAGAATGACGAGACAATTCTGAGGGAATCGAGGAATCAACCTTTGACATCATGCGGTTTACAAGATTTGAAAGGAAAAGTTCAGATGAATTTGAAGATATGTTCACGTAGGGCTATTTCTGGGAAAGTTAGCTTAAATGAAAGCTGGAAGTGTTTACTTCGAGACAGGGTAGATTATATTGCAATAGAATGACGAGACAATTCTGAGGGAATCGAGGAATCGACCTCTGACATTATGCGGTTTGCAAGATTCCAAAGGAAAAGTTCAGATAAATTTGAAGATATGTTCCCATGGAGCTATTTCTGTGAAATTTAGCTCAAATGAAAGCTGGAAGTGTCTACTTTTTGACAGGGTAGATCAGGCTGAAATATATTCTTTCGAGAAAACGCGAAAGGACTTATGAACGCAACCTAATACTGCGAAATTCTTAAAATAATGAAGAGGAACAATATTAACAGAGCTTTGTCGTAGCCGATGCAGAAGTGAATCGCTGCATCTGCAACTATCTACAAAAAACGCTCCTAATGTACGTCTTAATCTTGGCTGTGGGCCAGAAGAGATTGAGAAACCGTAGTGCAAACTAGAAATACAGGGAGAAATCTGAAATATGATGGATCGAAAGAAATGGGGTCGCGGAGCATCGGGGTGGGGGAATGACAAGATAATTATTTATTAGCGAAGGACACTTAGCCACCCAGCAGGAATCGTCGTCATTGATCGGGTTAAAAATGGCGATGGAAGATTCTCCATACGAGTGTTCTACAAATTGAAGAAAAAAAAATGTCCAGCTGATTAGAACGAAGATTGCGATTCGTGGGCGTAGCCACTCGTTCGTTTAAGATTTATTACCGTCGGCCATGGCTCTGTAAGGTCAAGCAGCGATGACATCGTAAATCGTCGATGTCGACAGCGACGCAGACAAGGCCGTGAAAGGTAATAGGCGCGTTACCTTTGCCTAGATTAATTTATAAAATCGCGAGCCAGCTTATAGATATCGATTAACGTTTACATAATGCGCGTCCGCGACATCGTGGATTTGCAACATTGAAATCCGATTGAGAAACGACTTGCGAAATTGGTGTTCAACGTGAAACACTCACCGCGGTGCTGCTCGTTACTCCGGGCGGTCCGCAGGTCCCCATTTTCTTCTTCATCTCTGCTAAGTCGACCTTCTTCGCTTTTGCTAGCTCGTCTAAGAAGGCTTTGTACTGTTCTATCCCCAGCTTCATCGATCTGTCGATGAAAAATTAGCAGAATATGTTATTACGAGACCTATTCTAGGCTGCATTGTTAACCCTTCGCACTCGAATCATGACCCTGAAGCACCACTAAAAAAAACATCATTTCATTGCAAAGTAATGTTTACGTTATTACAGCTTTTTCTACTTAAAAGACTGTTAAAAGCGTAATCGTTTTTACGAGTTACAAGACTCAATTTCATATGCATAAAATGCACTAAGTCAACAAAAGATATTTTGGATTTAGACTTAAAATGGCTTCGAGTGCGGAGGGTTAATTTATCGCGGACTGAATGCGTTTTCGGATGGAATTCTCTCAAACCGTGGCCAATGGCCTTCGAACAGGCTAAATGTCCACACAAAATACCCTGAATATTATCATTGTCATTTAAAAGTCCAAGTATCGACCCTAGACAAAATTATCACTGTTTTAAAAATCGCGTTAATAGTTAAACCAAAATAATCGCTGCTGTTTCCCAACACCTACATCGAGTTAAATTACTTTCTTAAGCACCTAGTCTGTTCTCAAAGAAAAACAAAAAATATACAACAAAATAAAAATAAACTGCGAATGTTTAAAATATTAAAAAGATAGTAATAAAGAACGTTTTCCAAAACCAGCCCAGGCAATTTTGATGTTGCGTAAACGGTGCGTCGTCCGTCAGAAAACGTGCTGCGAGAAGGTCGCAGCGATCAACGAGTATACTTGCTTGTGTTTCTTGAAGTAAATCCCCGTGTCGGTGGTGGTGATCTTCTTTCCGTCGATCACTTTAGCCTGTTTCATCCATTTGTCGCTCTGGCTCAGAGTGATCAGCTTACCGTCGCTCTTCGAGTCGCCGAATTTCGAGAAAGCTTTGAAGTTGCCCACGAAGCTTCCAGGGTGCGCGGCGCCGGGGCTGCTCGGCGTCGAGCTTCCGGTGTCGTCTTCGATCTTCAAGCTCGCCGTTTTGTTCGCGACCGTCTCCTCGGCCGACTCTTTGTCAGCGTCGTTTTTCTCGACCTTGGCCTCGTTCTTCTCCTCGACGTGGTTCTTCTCGACCTTCTCGGTCTCGGTGTCGGTTTTCTCCGCTTGCATGCTTGGTCCTGGAAGTTCAAGGAATCGAAACGCGTCGAATTGAAACGTCTTCTACAGCATCGCGTTCGGCGCCTGTGCGCTCTCGTTACAGACGGCGCGCGATCTATCAACTTGTTAACCATTTCTCGACGAATTTACGCGGACCGACGATGCCCGATTAACTCCCATCGGCTGAGTTACAGTAATTTCTCCCTAATTCGCGCTGCGAATAGATGAAGAGAGAAGGAGGAGATATGATCGTTCGAGCCTCGCGTCTCGTTTTTATATTGGGTTGGCAACTAAGTAATTGCCGATTGCAGTTATAGATGTCTCTGACTCCCATTTTTATGATATCCGTAAATGTTATATTATAAAATTATTATTATTATTATTATTATTATTATTATTATTATTATTATTATATGGAGCTATCTACACGTCTCCCAAGCATAATACACTATCCGCCAAAAGTATCAGATATTACGCGATTAAATGTTTCTCTATCTGTGTGATAATATTATTGTGGAAATAGAATTATGTATAAATAGAACCTATCCAGAAAGATAATATTTGTTGGTATGCCATCATTATATTGGGGGTTGGCAACTAAGTAATTGCCGATTTCAGTTATAGATGTCTCTCACTCCCATTTTTATGATATCCGTAAATGTTATATTATAAAATTATTATTATTATTATTATTATTATTATTATTATTATTATTATTATATGGAGCTATCTACT